GCAATGCCGAGACGCCTGGTAAACGCGGTGTCCACGACGTTTCGTGGCAAGGGGAATCCACGATCCGGGTTTGTGTCGAGGAACATGTCGTTGGTCTCCCAGTTGGCCCCGAGTGGGTGGATGTCTTCATATCGTTCCTGAAGCAAGCGATGATCTCGGGGAGGAGGATTGTCTCGGCGATCACGACGAGGTTCACGTCGAGCAGGAGGTGCAGCAGAGGACGAATAATGGGAGGGATCATCATGAAGTAGAGGAGCGGAGTGTACGCGGCTGTCGGAGTGGTGCACACGGCGGTCAGAATCTGGAAAAAGACGACGGCGTCGAGCTGATGGGCGTGGCGAGGAGTATTGTAAACGACGACGTGGAGGAGAGTCGTCCTTGGGATCTCGGTGTCGACGATGTGTTGTCGAAGTGTCATGACGGTTGCGGCGGTGATGCTCCGGTGTGTGCGAAATCGGGGTTCGGCTCCGGTATCGTCGGGACCGAGGAGGAGACGTCCGGCTGTGTGCACGGTTGTTCCGAGAAGACCCCGACGTGGGAGGTTGCGTCGTCGCATGCCGTTGGGAAGAATAGGGATCACCTCGAGAAGGTTCTTCACGTCCAGGTAGGCGATGTCGTCGGGAAGCTGGAGTGCGAGAGCGGTGTGGCCCCATGAGGAAGAGGAAGAAGTGTAGGGAACCAACCGACAAGGGCCAAAAATAAAATGGCTGCGGAAAGAGCATGGCAGACAATAGCAACAACAACGAAAACCGCTTGTTTGTCCAGGTCCTGAGGCGCGTCATCAAAATCGCCCTAGTCGAATCAGACCCAACTCCTCGTAGCTGGAGGGAACAAAGATCCAGCGCTGAAGTCCACGGTGAAGAGCCATGCCACGGACCTGTTGTGGACAAAACGGGTGACTGATGGAAAGGCACGGTCGGGAAGAGTGTGAGCGTTGAAGATCGGGCGTGCGGTCCAAGTAAAATGCGTATTGGAGTCCACGATCACGAAGAAGGGCTCGGACTGCATAATATAATCGCGAGCATGTCGTCATCAACGAAGCCACAACACCAGGATGGAAAGTGATCTCGGCGAGGGCATAGTGAAGATGATAATCGCGTTCTGTGCGGAAAGCCAAGGCTTGACCATGTTGTTCAGCAATGGGAAAGAGGCACCGTAATGTGGAATCAGGAGCGGGTTCATGAGCGGAGGCATTGTCCATGACTGAGTCAGGAGGAACCAAGGCAGCGCGTAAGCGAAGTTCCAGGAGCGGCACTAACACACGGCGGAGCATGAAGGGGTCTGTCAACACGTCCAAATAGTCCAAGACAGTCGCCGAAGAGGGCGACGTGAAAGCCGAGCAGGAAGAGGAGGGCGAAGGAGAAGCGGAGCGTGAGTTCAACATGGATGGCGCAACGGATAAGGGCAAGGCTAGTGCAGTACAGAAAATGGCTGCGGGACGTCCAAGACCAAGAAGAGTAGGGCAGCAGTAGCACAAAGTTTTGCTCAGTTCCGGCCGACTGAATACAAAGTAAGAGGTGGGCGCGGCTCGCCGCTAGCAGCATCCATGGACCTCAGATCACGTCGATGTCGATCGCGGTCGCGTTCCCGATGTGAGGGTTCAGGTAGGTCCGTGCGGCCAGTGCGATGCTCACGTGGTCCTCGGCCTCGGGAGCGATCTCGATCAGCACCGTCTCGGTCACCGCGGTCCCGCCGACGGCGTCGGCTCCGAGACCGGCCTGTGGTGGGTCGTCGTTCACCAGGAGGCGGTGGGTTGGAAGCCGATCCCGTCGCTGCTGTGGTGTGCTGAGGAGGAAGCTGAGGGCGCGCCTTGACCTGGACGTAAATCAAACTGCCGTCGACATCCGTCTTCGGGGCAAGAGCTCGTCCGGTATGTTTGCATACAGCCGGAGGTGGAGGTGTACGGTCGAAGTGGGGTTAGATTGCCCGGGAAGTAATGGAGTCGAAGGAGGAGGTCCCGCAGGCAAGGGATTGGAAGGAGGCGGGGATGTGGAACGACCTCGACGGCGATGACGATCACGATCACGGTCTTCAGCTCGAGGACGTTCTTCTGCTCGAGTGCGGTCTCGGTCCCGTCCGCGAAGTCGGGGTAGGGTGTGGCGCTGAGAGGGATCAGCGTAGGGGGGAGCCGGTGGTGGACCCATAGGGGTCGGGGGAGCCAAGCTGCCACCAGGAGGTGCATGAGGTCCGGGAGAATCATGAGCAGCGTGACCAGAATGCGTACCTGTATCCGTAGATGTGATTGGCACTGTAGAAAGCGGAGGACCATCTGGACGCGGAGGAGAAGATGTAGTGGTCGGCGGAGCCAAAGTTGGAGGTGGCGGAGGCGGGTTCGCATGGTCCGAAGGAGGAGGAGCAGTGTCGGTGGGTCTGATATTCGGCCGGTTCTGATGAGCTCGTAGCAGTACATCACGAACTTGTAGGAGTTGGCCGTCGGAGAGCGACTCGAAAAACACCAAGAACAGCTGCAAATACTCGGAGCTGAAGGCCGTGGAAGCCATAATGTGCTGCAATGTTTTCAGCAAAACGGCTGCGGAATAGAAATGCAACAACGAGGAAGCCAGCAACCGTGCATCTCAAGTCACGCTCACATTTTTCAGATCCTCTCACAGAAACACTGCGATGCCTTCTGGTTGTGCAAGTGTTGAATGTACACCCCAACGGTTATCGTTACCGTGTAGGATGGAGACGAAGTAGTTCGCCGCGTTCTCGGGGATGGTGCCCCCGCTGTCGCTCTTCAGGTGGTAGCCAGCAGGAGTATTGGGGAGTACTGAGGAAGGTGACTCGGTGGGCGCGGCATTGGCAATGTCGAGATAGCAAATAGGTACTCGTCCGTAAACACAGATTGGACGGGGAGAACCCCAACCGCCGAACTTGGCGGCGGCACGTAAGGCGCCGCTGAGGCTGTTGACCGAGGCGCGAGAGTAAAAAGCTGGACTCGGCAACCAAGAAGCAGCCTTCTTTAAGGATGCCGAATGCCGCTTGAAGATCAGCGTTATGTCCGAAGTATGCAACGGCTGGTGCACCACTGATGCGTTGAGCCGCAGCCGGAAAGGGGAGTGAAATCATCAGCATCGGTCTGCCTGCTTGATTAGGTAGATGTTGAGGGGCTTCGACCTGCGTGAACTTAAACTGGATGCTGTGAGGATGGTATCCGGCATGTACTAACAGATGCATCACTGTCAATATCGGATCTGCTGGTGTGAACGGTAAGTCGAACTGGCGTCCCTCCAAAAGCAGCTCCCGTTGGCACTGTCGGCGATGAGGTAATGCCTTGAAGTAGGACCGGTGTTCTAACAGCGCCGTGTACACTCGGTCCCAGTGGACGGCCTTGAGGGACCCAAGGCGTGTGGAATAATCTGACTGCAGATATGTATCCAGTTGCCCTGCAGTGGCTAGACACTGTCGAAGAGTGGCCAAAGTGCACGCGGAACTGAAAGGAGCTGCTGAAGATGAAGATGTTGTAGGCGGAGACGTCAAGGATGCTGAAGGAGTTGCGGAAGGGTCCGGTACCGAAGAGGTAGACGCAGGTGTAGCGGAAGTCACCGGGTGGTCGTCACTGGAGGAGTTCGGGACCATGACGGTGGGAAGCAGTCCAGGCCAGAAAGCACGTGCTGGTAGCGGAGATAGATCAGGAAGAGTGTTTGGAGCTGCTATGTTGATGGGAGGCCGAGGTTGCAAAGGGTCAGCAACGCGGCCGGACAAGGTAGAACGCCGGGGTGCTGCAGTTCGACTCATAGGCGGTGCCGGTGTCGACGTAGTAGAGGAAGAAGATGAAGAGGACGAAGATCTCGGGCGTGACCGAGACCGAGAGCGAGAAGGTGCTGTCGTCCGGAGTCCAGGTGCGCAGGACGGTCGGGGACGAGGAATCATGGCGAAGGTAGAAAAGCAAGGCAAAGCACTGCCTACAACTGCAACTACTACCGGAAAAACCGCTAGAACGTTACGGTCAAAATAATCCCTGCCTGAGTCCTTGGGTGTGAGTGCTTGAAGCTGCTTTGGCTGCAATCGCGTTTTGGTAGGCATGAAGCCGATTTTGTGGGTGCCATAAGAGGCGGTAAGGCCGTGCGGCTTCATTGCTCTCTTCATTGAACTGATCTAAGCGCTGACACTGAATTTGGCGCCTCCGAACTTGGAGGATCTGAGTGCAGCACCGAGGCATACACCACCGTCCCGGAGGACTACACACTGAATGTCAAGTAAGGTTTCTGTATGCGAAGAACCAGAACCAGCACCCAGGTCTCGGGCGACCACATGCTGGGTAACTTTTGACATGTGGCATCATGGACAAGAATGTCGGAGAGGAACTGGACAAAGCAACCCTGCCTGACCTGGTAACCGTTCAACCTGGCTAAACCCCAACACGGCCTGACTACCTGCAAGGACACCGTAGGCACTGGAGGAAACATGGACGCATGCACTGACTGTTTCTGAAGTTATACCACACCTGCAGGAGAACGACTGAGCGGGGTTCTTGGCTTAGCCCCATGCCATATCCAGAGAAGCGCAACCAGAATAATAATAGCCAAGTAAAACCAATGTACAGCGAAGATGATATACGATGTCACAAACGGCAGGTACACACGGTTGATCAGGCCGTGCTTCACCAGGGTATCCAGAGTGTCTTCGTTGGTGGCAGACTCTGGACCCTGCTGCCACCCCCTGCTGAGTGTCCAAAAGCATGTTTGGTTATAAGGAAAGTCGCAATCGGAAAACAGCTGCTGAGCGTGAGGGGAAGGCCCTTGGATACAGGGTTGTCACACACACACACACACACACACACTTCCCGGGCGGTTAAATTAACAGACTTCGGCTCAAAACCGGTCGGGGCGGCTAAGTTCCGGCTTTAATCGGGCGGGGCGGTTAAATTTAACAGATTTCGGCTTTAACCGGCCGGTGCGATTGCCCGTAGCCTAGGAAGTCGCCTGGATATTTGTTGTCATCGGTAACAACGGGTGCCACAGCCTGGTAACATGTCTCTCTTGTTTCGTCAAGCCCACCTGACACCAATGCTCTGGCCCAATGCGCTCCAGCAATCGTCGCAGGACCTCTTGCACTGCGATGTTCGTTGGCGCACACACGAGGCAGCGATTCGCGTGGCGCCGCCTCATGTCAACATCTGGTGGCTCCGGCTCGGGCAGGCTGTGCTTCTGGAACCGATTCTTCCTCTTCTTCTTGGGTGCCGGCCTTCAGCAGCAAGCGCATGCGAACATGAGCAAAACAAGTCTGCAAACCTCTGCCGGCGGGCTGCTGGGAGTCCTCCGTCTCCTCCCTGGTGCTCAGCGCCAGTTTCGCACACTGCTCCAGGAGCACGGCCAACGTGTGCGTTTTGCCAGTGCCTGTTTGGAGTTGGGGTGTATAGTCTAGAGTCTAGAACAACAAAAAGGTACAGCACTTGAGTCGTTGGAGTTTCGGTGCCTGGTGGCCCTTGAACCAGACGAACTCCATGTGCACAATCGACCAAGTTCTGCACTGCACTGGCTTGGGAGAAATTCAATCCCATTTGCTGTAGGTCTGCAATGGTCAAGCCAGATCGCATCGCAGCGCACTGGGATTCCGATGTCCCGCCGAAGGTGCTGACGTCATGATCGGGCTGACCAGAGATTTCACGCTGCCAAAATATCGGGTGGTGACCAGACGGATTGGCCAGCGCGGTTCCAATGCGGATGGATGTCAACGCGTTGCAAGACAGCACGGCCAGTCTCCACTTCCGCGGCTTGCCCTCAACCACCAATCGCACCCCCGTCTCCAAAGCCTCCTGCGAAAGCGGATCACTGTCCCAGCCTTCAACTTCTCTGACCAGCTGTCCTGAGCGAATGCCCACCTGCCAGGCCTTCCCTCGGTGGGTGATATCACCAATCAGCCAGACACCCTCTAAGCTTGGGCTCTTGATCAGCTCTACATCGGCTGTCGCTTCTGCACAGCCTCCAGGGTAATCAACCTTGAAAACATCATTGGCTTCACAAGGGGGCAGGTGCTTGTCTTGCGAGATGAGGACCAGAGCATGCTTACTCTTCGGAGTTGTGTGGAGAAGGCCCAGTCTGTAGCAACCTGCCAGGCACTGCCAGGCCAAGGGAAACTGAACACGTGAGGTGGTGGATGGAAAGCCACGCCTCCAGGATGGACTTTCAACGGCAACGTCTGTCTAGTCAAGTCGTCTTCGGGACCGGTGCCGGGCAGGGCGATATCTTTCGTGATGGAACCATCCTTCATCGGGGGTGCCAAGCGGACCAACAAAGTAGACATAACATCTGAGACACGACAGCATGATGAGGATAAGAGCCTCAAACAGCAAGCACATTTGGCCAGGAGCGCACTTTGCGCAGAGTGCACTCTTCGCACGATCCTCTCCAGCCAGTATCAGCATTACCTCCTCGGAGTCCGACTCCTGGAAAAGTGCAAGACTGCATGGCTTCACAGCAACAGCGACTTCATTGGATGGAGATGCAGCCAAGCGACGGGAAACCAGAGAGGCGTTCGCGGAACACCTTCGCTCTTCATGGTTTCCTGAGCAACCTGGCCAGCGAGACCGTCATTCGTCACGTTTCGACTTCGCAGAGCGCACGCCAGCGAGGCAGAGGGATGAGGAAAGGGGAGAGAGTTGCAGCTAAATCTCAGAAAACATGTCTGCTAGAACCTCCGACACCCTGCTCTACCCCGTACGAATGGCATCCTCTGGGAGAAGTGAAAACAAGAAGCGAGTTTGGGCAGCATGCCTCCAAAGGCACCAGGCGGACTTCTTCTGCAGTGTCTAGGTCCAGCTCAAACGGATCCAGAGATTTCTTCAGATCTTCACGCAGCTCCTGGAAAAGACACCGTAATCGATTCAAGCGAGAGCAAAGGAGCGGAGCTTCCACCAAATTTGCGCCGAGTTTTGACGACGGCGACTGCGATTCGAAAAGATGAATACCTTTGAATTGTCGCACTTTAACGCAAGCGCGACATGTCTGGAACCACCTTCTGCAGACCAGCACCACCCACCCAACCACCCACCCACCCACACACCCACGCACACGCACACACACAGACAGAGAGACAGACACAGCATCGTGGCCTCGAGCATCGGCAATGCGAAGCTGCGCCTTGGGAAACAGGCTTGCGCGAGCTGCACACAAGGTTTCGAGATGCAACACCCTCAAAATCCAACAGGTTTGGGGAATGCTGAAATCTACGGTTTGCGTGCTTATGCCGAGGCTCAGGTACTCGTACAAGCTGCAGAAGGTGTCCGGAATGGGCGTCTGGACCGTCAGCTCGCTTGCATGGGGAGATCTCAGCAAGTCCCTAGCGGTAACAGGCTCTGATACGGAGTATCTCCAGTGCACCTCCGGCGCTTCCAAGGCGTCTAGCTGTCTAGTGATCAGGAATCTGGAAACGTGCGGCCCGCTCAAAACCACACAGTTATCCTCCATCTCCAGTTCCTCGCTGTCTTGGTCCGAATCACCGCTGGCTCTGTCCTCCATCTCCTCCATGTCATCGTTTTCCCCGCCCGCGCCCTCCTGTTCGCAACGAAGTTCCTCCAAGGCCTTCACCATCGTCTCGGGTCTCGGGGCACGTTCGAAGCCCGTCTGCTCCCGTACCTGCTCGATGGAGCCTTCCAGGGAATAGAAGAAAGTCTCCTCCCTGCACCGGCCGATCATTTCCGACGTCGACCGAATCTGGGCCCTGCGGCCCCTCCAGAGGCCCGTTGTCCATCGCTTCCAGAAACCCCAGGCCTGTGCAGCTCGCTCGTCTGCGACCCGAACTCTGATGGTGGCACCCTCTGCGGGTCGCCTTTGCTGAAAGAGACGGAAAACAGCCAAACGTCGGTTGGCCATGGTCCAGAACTGCCCCTCTGTCCAATACACCTCCACGATTGGGATGTCCGTTTTGGGTTTCCCTTGCAGGAGCTCATTCAAAGTAGCAGCGATACTCTTCCCATCCTTGAAATGTGAAGAAATCGAGAAGTGAGAAAAGCCGATCTCATTCGGCGACAGCTCAATTTCGGTACCTGCCTCGTAAGGACACGGAGCATTTGACTTCTTCAAGGTGTCTCTGTCAAGTGTGTCTGGCTCAAAGGCAATAGGCAGAAAAATCGACTCGAGAAAGGGCAGCGAACGATGCGAAGAGCCTCCGCGGTGCAGCCGAAGCCGTGCATCTCTCACTGCTTGCGCAAATTGAGCGAACTCATCATCTTCCTCTGTCTGCAGCAGGTCTGAAGCCACTTCCAGCTGTTTCAAGAACAAGTATGTTCTTCGCAAGACCCGCGCCAGAATCCCATCAAACTCAGACCCCCCAGCTGCATCACTGCACTTCTCGAAGTTCTCCTTCTTCATCCAGCGTAAGACGGGATCAACAAAGCCAGCTCGCTTTCGAAGCTGCTGCACTTCAAGCTTTGGAGCGGGATGTGGAATCTTGCCTTCCGCATGTGTAAACAAGACCATGCAAGACTAAAGCCCTCCAGAATTAACGAGTAGCTTGGTGCTGCAAGGCCGAAGAGTCATGCTATTCCACTGGGCGGAGCCCCCTAAGTCTTCCCTCTTCGACAGGTTGCATAGGTTCAGGTCACGTGAAATCTCCTCGGACATTGTTTCACACCACGTCCAGTAAGGATCGAAGTCTCTGTCGGTCACAACCTGCCAAGCCACGCATGAAAGTACACGAAGGCAGCATTCGGTACAGTAGCAACAAGCGGGGCTCGCATTTGTTTGCGACCAAAACGGCGTGCGGCCTCCTCCTCTTCCTCAAGATCGTTCACGAAACAGCTCAGAAACGCAACAAGGTGGTCGGCCATCTCCCCGGTGCGGAGGTCCAGAGGCATCTGCCAAATCCTGGCCGCTGCGTCGTCAAGCTTTAAAGCCTTTGATTAGATACAAGTATTGGGTTGCAGGGCAGAAGCTCGTGAGGCCCCAATGCCGGAAGGGCGTCCTGAAGCTTATGAGCGGCGGTGTGGGCACTTGGATGTTGGCACAAGCACTGCCCAACGGCGTCAGTCGCAGGCCGTCGTGAAGAAGACCCTGTCGGCTCAGAACTGCAAGTTTCTTGTTGAGTTCTTCTTGGAAAACCAGCTCATCAGACTTCCCCGTCTCGAATTGCTTAAAGCTCTGCATCAGCAACAGTGTAAGAACGCCGCCCCCAGAACGGAGGCAACGAAGGATCAAGCAGAAGCTCAAGGTGAATCTGCTCTCAACTGGCTCGGCCCTGCCAGCAACAAGCCGCTGCACGAAGCTGGGTTCTACCTGCTGCGTCATCATGCTCCAAGCATTCCCCTGGGTGTCTTGGCCGCGTCGACCTGCCCTTCCGGCCATCTGCATGTACTCGCCGCACCGAATGGGCCGCTGTTCGCTTCCATCGAACTTCTTGAACTCGCTGCCTCGGGGCCAATTGAAGATCACAGCTCGGCTCGGCATGTTCACCCCCACCGCGAAGGTCTCGGTCGTGCAAAGGACTCGGACAAAGCCCTCCTAGCAAAGGATGCAAAAGAAGCTGGCAAACTGCCACTCGAAATACACGGCACTTCTCTCCTTGAAGAGCTTCTCCGTAAGTTCGCGCAAGACCGGTAGCAGTCCACCGTGATGTAGGCCGACACCCCTGCAACAGGCGGCTGAAAGCACACTGCCCTGTGCCATGAATCTCCCTACATGATCCTACATGCATGCATGTTGGCTGTCATCTCATGTATCATCCTCATGCGCCGCGCCTGCTCAGCAGGAATTCGCACTCTCGAACCGAGCGCAAGCTGCGATCTTGCTCTGCCAACTGCTTCTCCACGACTTCCCGCACTTGTGCCCGCACAGTCCTGCCAAACACCGCATGTGTGGGCTGGGCATTAGAGTTCTACGGTCCCCCACCTTGTCAGAGTTTGCCGAAGCCGCACTGACGGCGCCAACTTCCGTGCCATCTCAGCAGCCTCTCGTCTGGAGAAGGAGAAAATGATGAGCGGCATCTGCTTGCTGGACCTGAGCAAAGCGCGGCCACAGCGTTGCATCAGCTTCGGTAGTGGCATGCTCTTACATTGCAGGCCAAAGCCGTATCGAAAGGATACTAAAGTACTAAAGATTACCGACTCCGCCACGCGGCCTGCACACCTCAGTCGCCACCGGCCGCTGCTAGCACAAAACAACACGAATGCTACCCATTCCGCCCTGCCACTCTCAGACAAGTGTCATGCAAGATCGACACAAGATCCTGCCCGCGATCAAGGTCTCGTGCAGGCTTGTCCGGCGGCTTTGGCAGGTGCATCACAGCTTCCTGCATGAAACAAAGCACATGTCGAAACACGACGGGACACTAACGTTTGACTAAAGGCCATGGGATGCTCCCAAAAAAATGTGGCAGCCCGTCCTGGTAGCATCTTTTTTTGAATTTACCTTTCTTGTCCGAAATCGTCTGTGTGGCTTCGGCAGGTGGACAGGCGACGATGCCATGAACCAACGGCACGGGCCTCCAGCGCGTGAAGATTGCATGACAAGGAGAATGTCGAGTCTGTGCAATCCAGCCGACCAGGTCAACAAAGTTCGGAATTGTGGCAGAAAGGCATAGCAAAGGAATATGACGTTCGAGGAGGATGATGGCTTCCTCCCACGTGGTTCCGCGCTCTTCGTCTGCGATATAGTGTGCTTCATCAAATATCGCATAGGACAAATGGCGCATAAGCACACGGCGCGGCTCGCCAATGCCCCGATTCTGCTGTGCATTGGCATCCGGATCCAGATCCACGAGGTCCGAGTCATGGTCATTGTGCAGAATGCTGACCAGCACTTCCGTTGTCATGACGACCACCTGAGCGAGCTCCATGTTTCCGGCTTGAGCATCGCCTGTCAGCAGAGCGACCTTCTCGGCTCCGAACTCAGCAACGAAGTCTCTGAACTTCTCGTTTGACAGAGCTTTGACCGGCGCCGTGTACACGCATCGACTTCCAGTAGCAATGCATTTCTTGATGACATTCCTGGCTACTGCGGTCTTCCCTGCCGAGGTCGGGGCAGCAACGAGAACGCTCTCCGACTTCTCAGTGCAAGCGAAAGCTGCCCGCTGGAACCAATCCCACGCAATGCCTTCTTCTGGGCCTGCAGAAACAGCAGGAACATCACGTGCATCAGCTGGATCCTTGCTTACGTTAGCCTGCCGCACCGTCCGAAAGTGCTTTTGACCGGTTCCGCCCTATTGCAAACACAGCTCGAACAAATATTCTCGGGTTGCAGCTTGGTTCCTATGTACATGAACTAACAAAGCCGTTTTCGCAACTCCGCGTTCCAGCCTGGTACTTGGTCTACATCTGGCAAGCAGGACCTTGTCGACTCCGCTGGGCGCACACAGATGTGCAGCTCCCGGCTGGTAGATCGTTCATCGATTACATCCACGCACAAGTCTGATGAAAGATCTGCTGTGAGGTGTTCTGCCCATGACTCCATTCCGGCGGGAAATGGCAAGCCATGCGGCGACAGGCTGCAGACTGGCAAATGTGTATACGCTGCTAAAATCAAAGCATACAAACAACCTATGGCCGCATCACAAGATAGGAACGCGCTGCTCTCAGGCTTACCCGTCTGGATGAATTTTCAACCGAAAGACATCGACTGCCCCTTGGGCCACGTCTGAGACATTGCCAGCGCCGACGATGCATTTTTGCAATCTGCTGTTCCTACATCTTCGGAATGCAATACAAAAGCCAAAACTTGCGACTTTTCAAATTGTAAAATCCCGCGTTCGCGAGTGTTGCGCGACGATGCGCGACGTTCGGCCACTGAATTGCCCGGCTTCCGAAGTGTGCTCCAGCAAAGGAAGCAGATCAGAGACCAGGGCGTAGAGAGACTATTCTGGAAGTTGCTTGGCCAATCGCGTACTGCTGCGGAAACAATCGTCAGGAACAAGGTGTTGTCTGTCGAGAACAAGTGTACTGACGAATAGTTTCTGCTGGAATGACCTCTCGGCATCGCACACCCACCCGACCCTTCGGTTTCAATAATTTTGATGCCGTGCACCACAAGGCTCAGACACGATTTGTAAAGCGCGTGCCCTGTATACGTCTGGAATGATCAATCCAAGAAGCGGCGAATGGCCACACAGATCCGAGATCATTAGCTTTCCAACCGTGAAAAACAACAGATGCGATGGGAATGTTGCTTACTAGGGATGGTGCCCCAACGAGAGAATCCGGTAGCATCCTTTGCGTGGATATCTCTTCCAAACCATGTTCTGGCCACCGTCGCAGCTTGCTACGCTACCCAATAATTCGTCAAACCTGCGAAACGCCTATGGAAAGTTCTTGAAACAAACTCTTGCAAAACGCCAGCAAACGCAGAGTGCACCGGTTCTTCACAGACTTGGGGTTGAGAGGCAACTGCAATAAGCAATATCCGCAATTTTTTCTTCGCGCACTTGTTCAAGCTTTTAACTCTCCACAATGCGGTCCCAGTGCAAGAGGTCCAACACCAAGGCTCACCTTACGGCGGCAGCTGATGGAGGCGATTTTGTTTCTAATTTGAAATGGTGGGTGGTTCGGGAAAGAGTCCACCAGGAGATCGCTCACGAGGAGAGCGTCTCCATCGACGTTGAAGTGGCAGCAGGTGGCAAAGAGAGAAGGCTGGCCACAAAGGATCGGGCAGCGGCGAAAGCAAGCAGCGCGGACCATCGCAGAGCGAGCTCAGATGTGGCCGCCGCCCGGCAACGGGAGCAGTGCGAGCCCGAGATCGGGCCAGCAGTCTGACTCAGCGGCCTGCGGAGGCCACTACCCCCCAACCTCAATGCCGAAGACAGGCGACATTGGTTGCCGTGCCCTCGGGGTAAGTCCGGGCCTTGGCGCGCTCCCCAGCAGTGATGCCTCTGTCTCGGCGTGGCGTCCAAGCGCCGGCAAGGGCGACACCAGGGTTGTGCCGACGGCGAGCCGCATGCCAAAGGAAGGCCGTTAATTAGCAATGACTTCCATGCGCCGCTGGCCCTGCCGGGACAATATTGAGATCACGCACCAAGGGACATGAGTTGCAACAGTCGCCCCGGCCTCCCTGCACACACGTGCCGCAACTCACTCGCGGGGAACCTCCACAGCAGCGCAACACGCCTGAGCGCAGGCAAGCTGCACGGTGGTGACCGCATGCATCATGGCAGCAGCGGCATCTGGAGTGTTCGGAACAATGGCGATCGCAAGGTGAGCTCGGGTGCAAAGGGCCGTGCAGTCCACACACGGGCCGAATACGGTACCCGTCTACAGCTTGAGAAGCAGCACGCTGGCATATTCGGGTGGTGTCGAAGTGCAGGTCGCAGTTGGGTACTGAAATGTACTGAAGGTTCGGCCTGCCCGGCTAGCAGGCTAGCAGGACCCGTCACGTTGATGCAATACCAGAACGGTATCCGCCCATGATACCCAAGACGCAGCGGACACATGCCGTGCATCGCTCCGCAAACCAAACCCCCATGACTAATGGCTAGCTGCGCACGAGCACCACCTGGCCCAGGCAAGCCCTGCGCAGCGTCATCAGACAGAACTGCGTCGAGGCAGGGGAAACCACTGGTGTCGACTTTGTAATTGCTCGCTAGTTGACAGAGAGTTTGCATATTGTCCTGAAATTTTCCATTCGATACCTATTTGTCTCAAGAATGGAATGGCAGTACACAACTACCATTACTGCAGCGCCCACCTCTCTTTATGGTTTTTAGACGGGGCACTCGCCACTATTCCGTCTATTACGGAAACAAGGCACGCAATCTATATGGTCACATTTGTGCTGCGAGAGCCGCCAGAGGCACGCCGGGGGACCACGGCCGCCCCAAACAATTATTCCGCAACTTTTTTGGCTTACATAACGGCGCTAATCGCCACACCATAGCACAGGCTAGTGGTCACGAATCTCGCTGTGCGTCGGAGGGAAAACGGAATCATCAATGCCTTAGATCCACGAAAGCTATGCTTGCGCGACACAATCTAAGTACAACGCCAGCCGCTCTAGTTCCAGACGGGATTATAGACAATGGGTCCGTGACGCGCTGGAGGATGGAAAATTTACCCTGGTCCTTCCCCGGCTCCCTCCGAAAAGGGTAACGAATAGCCCTGCCCAACTCGAAAGAGCCTATGGCAGAGGGAACACAGCGCCAACTCTAGGATCATGGCGGGTGAGCCGTCCCAACCGCCTGCGCGGGTTGGGACTGTAGGGTGCTTCATGCCCACCCCTGAAACAGGCGGTGGGGTAGTATTGTAGTGCAACAATGGTGATGGCAGTAGCTGTTATCCAGCCACCACGTGATTGCAGGAATGGCATGCGCGAGGCCCATTTTGCAACCCCCCACCACAGAAATGAGCCTGGGGAAAGTCCTTGTGCCGGGCCTAAAGTCACCAACCCGCCCCCCGCGATGGCTTGTTATTGCGGCGCGGGCCTGGCGCTGCCTGCTTCCAGAGCACGCCGATGAGCAACGTTACCGTTTTTGCAGCACCCTCCTCGCACCACGTCTCGCAAGAAGCTGCGGGCCTGGGCGTTCCAGCGGCCGTCAATTTCAGAACCGAGCATGGGCGAGCATTTGTAGCCTTTCAGGTGTGAATGCACGCCCGCAGTACAGCACTGTCCACTGCCGGTGCGCATGGCTGCGGGTGGCCATGGGCCGTGGGGACTCCAGCCTGTCGTCGCAGCATTGCGTTACCCTGCTGATCCCGCGCCGTATACCTGCGACGGTTCTGCGCTTCGACGTGCGGGGCGGTCGAAATGACGTGCCTATCGCTTTTAAACAACCCACACCCATGCTCGCTGCATTGTTGGCCTGCCAGGTGAGGAAAAGCGCACCCTCGTGACATCCGCGTGGACAGCGAGTCCTAGTCCCAATGCAGACGCTGCGTACTGCGGGCCGAGGGGGCTTGGAGAGGATGCAACACCTCCCCGAACGCCGGGAGCTGGGCGGCAGCACGTGTGGTTTGCAAAACCATGCTGAACACACTCCACGGCACAGCTTACCCTGCGTGGCGATGCATGGCGGCACCTCGCTGGGCGGCGAAGCGGAGGGACTTGGCGCTTCAGCGTCCTCCAGGCTTGCAGGAAAGAACACACAGTCGCGGAGGGCCAGGTCGCACGAGTCGCACGAGCTTACGGCAAGCCGCACGCTTGCGCGTTGTATTGCGCTGTGGTTTGTTGCGCCGGCCAGCGAGAAGCTACAGCCTCAGTTGTTGCCCTAAGGACGACACGACTGTTACGTTGCAGCACGCTGCTTATTTGGTTTTTATCGCATGTCTTTTTCTATAGGTAAGTCCACCGTTTGTCCGTCTCCTGTCTACAGTTCCGAGCCGCGCTGGTGGCTCGTGGCCCGCTAGGAGCTCCCCTAATGGCCTAGTGGGACTTCAAAGCCGTCGGTTGGCAAGCGCCGTCCAGCGGTGCATCATGGATCGTTGGGTGAATCCGGCGTTTGCGATCGACTGCCTGTGCCAGGGCGAGGCCCGGTTGTTGGTCAGGCACGGCAACTTGGGCACCCTGCCATAATAAAGGGCTGGCGTTGGCGACCACCTCGAAGCGACGTCCGTGGTTTGCGGGCACGTCGAGGGTGAAGTCCCGGAGGGCGACATGCGATGCGACACGGGCAGCGGCCTCCCTGAAAATGCGAGCGCTGCCCGCTCCAAGGGCCCAGCATGGCCCAGATGTGCGCACTAAAACTCCTACCTCTGCGCAGGTCGACCGGTGGTTGCTGTCCCCGACAAGCGCAGCGTTTCAAGGCGAGCGGGACAGGTAGGCGGAGTCAGCGGGGCAGCATGACTCGGATCTCCTCGTCCGGCGCTTTTGTGTCGGCACTCGTTGGGAACAGCAGCGCTCGAGATGCGGGGTCAAGCTCAGTGGAACGTGTCGTGAGCGTGCGCTGGTAATCGGCTTCGCTGCCAGCCCGGTCTATCTCTTGGGACCAGGCAAGTGATGGGGGCGGCGGGGGCGGCGCCATCCTCCTCCAGCAGCCTGTTCTACTGCTCGCGTGCTGGCGGGGGTTCGACTGGCCGCCGCGTCCAGCAGCGGGCGGAGAAGGGCGGCCAAAACACCCGTTGGTGTTGTCGCAGCGCTCGGACGGTGTCCGCCGAAGAACCCCAGTAGGCAGCGTGGCGTTACTGATCGGCGGACCCCAGTCCCCAGTCCCCCCATGATGGGCTGGCCTGTGGCCAAGCTCCGAAAACGGCATGTCGCCATCGCCAACCGCCAGCATATGAGCCATGGCAGCGGCATCGTGAGTCTTCGGTGTCGGCCGGCGGCAGCGTTTGCAGCAGGTACGAGCGGCATCGGCCGGTAAGCGATTACAGCGGCGAAAAGCGCCTTTTTTCATACTTCCTCTTTGCTTTGGGCCCCCATATACGTTCGACAACCATCCACGCGGTCCCAGGTGCAGCAAAAGAGCTCAGCTCAAGCGGTGAGCAGCTAGGCAAGACTGGAGACGAGGGGAAATGACTGCGCGGAATCAG